GACTGTCTTGTAGCTCATATTCACAATAAATAACTCTGGTTAGGTGTAGTTCGGTTTAGTAGGTGCAACAAATGTTGCTAAACGAAGCTAGTTCGGACTACCTTGTCAAGATCTGTCAACACCTGTAGCCAATGCGGCGCACTTATACACTCAAGATCCCTGAGATCGGGTAGGCGTGGCCGCATGTTTCAACTTATCCTTAAGGCGTTTACGCTTCTGATGCGATATTTTCACCTCGACACAATCGTTGTCGTGTCTCTGTCCAACACAGAACAAGATGACAGTTGTCCCAGACTGGAATATTCCACTAGTAACCAGTTCCTTACAGTGTTCGAATGCTCCGCCTACCCGATCTCAGGGATTTCGAGTATACCATTTCGCAACTTTACAGGAGTTTACGAGTCTAACTTCAGAGTAATCCGTTGATTAATTTGAACCAGCAAGAGGAACTACCGAAAATACAAAATGCCCCTTTCCAAGGCGAACAGCGCCCTTGGATTTCCACCACATTTAGCTCTCAAAAGTTCTGCAAACAGAGTTCGTTCTGGTACGGTAACAGTAGTTCAATGCCTCAGTTCGCTCTCTAAAAGTTGTGCGAAAAACACGCAAATCTGGGAAAGAGGCTTCACCTTGAACAAAACTCGAACCACATCTCACGCAGACAACTGTGCTCGCAACGTCATCTAGCTGAGAAGGTAGTAAGGCGATCTCAATGGTTCAACAGATGGCGCCCTCGCTCAGTGACAGTGTGGTGCTGCCCCCCCCCCATAGATCATATTTTCTGCTTATATCTTACTTTTTGTTACGACTTTCCGAAAGCAGAGCTACGAATCAGTGAATTCATTGCCGACACCTGATTTTCTATCATTCTAGGATGAGTTTTAGTTCTCCGTTCACCACTGAGATCTTCAACCCTGTAAGTTTCATCACCTTATCAACTGTTTACAGCGTTAGCAGGTTGTTTTGAGAATTCCAGAACTTTGCAGCAGGCTAAACAACCCTTGAAGGGAGTAACGGCGAGAGACTCTGAGTTGAGTCTTTGGAAGAAAAGTCATATTAATTGCAAAAAGGTGTACCCGTGGAAGTGAATTCACAGTCTTCTCCCGTGCGAATGATGGGACGTGTCAAAGGGGCGGGGCGGGTGGGGTTGGCGTAGTTCCAACCTGTTTCTCTTCTATTTTTTTGGGGAAGCGACTGAATATCATATCTTGTCGCTCAAGTGCTCCAAGAATTGATGAAGAAGGGGCTGGCAGCGCGCCAAACCCACACTCACTGACACGCTTCCTGATCCTCAGCGAACGGTCTGTGAGGATGCCGGCACATCACTCAGCTTGCAAGGCCTATTTCATCGGGCTCCCCACGTCTGGGAATAACGCTTGACACCCGTGGGGGGTCAAGCAATGGCTTTCTTGCCCTTCACGACCCCGGCCTTCGGGAATGCGGCTTATCGCACCTTATCGAGTTCAAATTTTCCACGGTTCTGTGCGAACACTTCTGGGCTCGCTATAAACAGGACACGAAGGTATTCGCTATGGAATCTTTTCACACAGGAGCTAGCTATTTTAGCTTTTTATGGGCTATCGCAAGAAACTAAAAGGAGCCAAAAAACGTACGTTCACCAGAGTTCAGATAAAGGTCCCATATTCCACGGGCAGTAATAGAATAACGAGTTCGACAACGAAAGTCTGCGAGTTAAGTTCTGAAAAGATTATTTTTCAGGCGCTTCCCGTCAGAGTACCAGTGACTCACTTTGCCTACGGTAAGCGTCTCCGAGTGGTTGTGAGACCCCTCGACAGGAAAGATAAACAGTTTCATGTAAGTGAGTTAGTGACTATCCTTTCAACACGGTCGGGTGCCGCAACGGCTCGCTGTCTGCAACCGGTTCGCGACCGCGCACGGACCGTACTCCCTAGTTCTTGCATTTGCGTCCATATTTTATTTATGTGGGTTTTCAGGTGAAATCTGAAGAACGGGGAAGACATTATCGTTGTTCACTTCAATCCTCGCCTCAAGGTACATTTCCGATATTTGAATTGATATAGAGTTTCCGAGCAATTGTTTAGGCTCTAACAACCTTGGAAAGGGCATTGAGAGGCAGGGGCACATTCCTGGGGCGAGCGGTTACTGCCTAACGCTCATTCGGTCGGAATGACTTGCCAGAGCGGCCTTTATCGCCACCCATTCAGCCCTTCCACAAATGGCGCAGTAACCCCCCATTCCTTCAGATCGTGGCCCTTTCGCGCTTAAACGTCTCTTTATGGAAAACTGGGAATCCTGCAGTACTGCTGTGCAAGCTTAAAGCGGAAAGAATTTCGAGGCTAACGAATTAGGTCAAAAAAAAATCTTCTGTTTTGACGAGAGTTTCTCTCCGCTTTTGCCACGATTAAAACCTTCTGGTGCCCTTCTCGAGGCTATCAACGCCATCGTCTCTGCAAAAACCCTTGATTTATGCGCTAAATCTCATTTATCCCAGATTGGTACCCTAGCGTGTGCTCCACATAAAATTCCAATTTTGCAAAGCAAACTACGGCTTATCGTTATCGTGTGGATGGAACAACAAATCACCTCATAAGGCACGTCCCTTCCCCCTTTCGTTTTATGAGGAATAACGCACCAGTATGGAAGACAGCATGGTTCTCTGCCTCCGCCCACCCGGTTATCACGGAACGTGTCTTCAAATTGAACTACATGTAGGCCGGTACGAAACCGCAACAATGAGTTCAGAGTGGGATCTTCTGGTCGAATTGTAAGTCGAGTTGCAGGCCTGTTACAGGGAGATAATTTTTGAGGAACGCGCTACACATACACCAACAGGGGTGTTGTATTTGGAGCATGGTGTAGAGGAAGGCAATGCGTTAATATGGAGAAAACAAACACGGGTACACCTTAGCGTCGGCTTTTCATCGTTTCGCCCTTCGTGAGAAGAATTCATCAAGGCCAAAAATCAGACTAAAGACCAATTCCAAACTGATCGTTTGAGCGGGTACAGAGAACCTTTCCTTTGGCGTTTTAGACGAAAGATTCACTTGTAGAGAAGGCACATTGGTTCTCTGTCTCCACCCATCCGGTTATCGCGGACTCTGCTCCTAATGTCTTTTCCTCAAACATTCCTCTAACCCCATATCTACCCTGAACTGGCACAACTAGTACTATAATAGAAAGGACGCTCGTTTTTTTTCTGTTTTCGGACCATTACCGTTTCAGGATGGAGACTTGGTGTTTCAACTCATACTATCTTGGACATTGGCAGACTGAGGAGAGAGGAACTCGTACGGTATTTCCATTCAGACTGAAAGGAGAATCTACACCTTGGACTTTATCGCGACAGGAAGCAATTCAGTAGCGGTAACTTTTCTTTGTTTTTTTTTAAGCGGCGATGTTCTTTCAGCGTACTTCGGAGTATTCGGATTGGTCGCCCTCGAAATGCTGGCAAATTCGAAGGGTATCGGGGCTGAAGCACACATTCCACGATGATGAGATAGGCGGAGACCTGTGACTGTTATGCATTTTTGGCGTATTAGCGTATTCGGAGGGGCTTGCCACAGGAAATGATGTAGTGGTTGTGGGTCTCCACCCATGCAGTTATCGCGGAAGGTGATCTTAAGCTGGTTCACTTCCCAGACAGCAACAGGCGCGAGTTGACGCATGTGACCTTCCTGCTTGCCATTCGATTAATTTCAAAAATTTCAGGTATACAGCAACGGACACTTCCTCTACGACTTCGAAGAGCGACACTTCCTCTACGACTTCGAAGAGCGACAGTCTGGCTGGTCAATCACGTCCATCGACATCGGCGGAGATGTACACGTGCACTCCGTGCAAATCGAATAAAGTCAAAGGCGCTGTTCGGCTTGGAAGGGGTATTTGCACTTTTGCTGGATTCTTTTGTTAGTTCCTGCTGCCTTACCTTGGTCAGACCTGTACACTCTTGTCAAATGTAAACAAATGTCACCTGCTATTGCATAGCATCACATGAATTTACAGGTCTCAAGAGGAAGCTTCGGCAGTGATCAATGGGGATCAACAAAATGCCCCCACTAAGCCGAACGCCGAACTGCGCAATTCCAACGCTTACAACTATCGTGTCCGTTGAATAAAATGTTTGCAACCAATAATTGTACTGCATTTTTTGATGTTTTGCTTTATGTATACCGAAGTTTAGCGACCATACCAGTGCATTTCGGGAACAAAGAGTTCCTGGTCGAACTGAC